TTGAATAACCGAAATGACAAACTACTATCCTCCGTTTTATATAAACGAGCATTTACCGGGGGCGAAATACGTATGGGAGTTTCGAATAGTGAAGAAGTAATGCTAGAAATTACATTTCTTGCTTGCACAGAGAATAAAATTTTTTATGCCACTCATGCCTGAAACCGGCTGGATTACACACTCGACGCTTCGCGTCTCGTGTCTAATTCAGCCGGTTTCAGACTTCGTGACACAAAATTTTGTTCAGTACTTGTTGGGAAATTTCGTCCTTAACGTGTGTGGTTACATCACTCGCCTTCGGCTCATGCTGTAAACCCCACACACGTTAAAGACGATATTGCCCCACATGTACTGAAATATACTATTCCTTTGTTTTTGGTTTTTTTCATGTCAGTAATCTGACAAGTCATTCATCAATCTTCCCATCGACTCACAACCTCTCCATCTTTATCGTCACGCGTCCAAAATATTTTCCAAAACTCAAAAAATAAATTAAAATAGCAATCTTTTTCTTATTTGTTTTTCTTATTTTTCGATGTCGGCAATGAGACACGTCATCGAGACCTACTGGAAATAAAAGAAAAAAAAAATTCTTCGGTTTCTTAATTTAAGTTTTTTTTAAATTAATTCTCCGCGATAATGGGCCGGAAGGGGTGGAGTGGGTAGGTGACGATGTACTACATAAAAAACCCCCTTTTTTTTAATATGAACATTTGAAAAAAATATTTTTCGGCCCTGGAATAAGTAGTAACAGAATTAAAAAAATAAAAAGTCAGAGAACATTAAAAAATCAAAATCCAAAAAAAAAATGGCCTGATCCAAAAACCGAAGGGGAACTTTCGATTCCAAAAATCATCCTCTACGTATCTCTAACGTTGAATGAAACTTGATCATATATCAATTTTTACTACGTTTCGGGATAGAAATGAGGAAACGATGACTCATGATACACTTTTATAGAATGGTAGGATAATTTTTATCAAAAATTTCTCTCCGTGTAAATTCCTCATTCCTCTTGAAAATTCAGGAAAATCTGGTTTTTCATGTTAAACAATCATGAGCTTTTCAATGAAAGCTTGAATTTCCTAACTCATCGTAAAAATTGGACATCACATACAATTCAGTTTTCAATAGATTGAGAATTCAGAGAAGTTATTGTCCGAATTTTCATCCGCTGTTTAGTGCAACATTGTCATCTTCTAGGGTAATATGATTGTCATAATTGAAACCTCATCAGGCTCACTTGGGAATGACTCGGTTGGAGAAATACGATTTTGAAAAACTAAATTGTTCTCTTCAAGTAAATGAATATTTGGCAAAAATTTTTTTTTTCTAATAAAATCACAGCAGCTAGCACAATCGCAATAACAAGAAGAAAGGAACGTCATGACAATGTAAAACTCGTTCGAAAGTTCTTTCTGGAAGAGAGACGCTTTATGGCAGTACAAGTAATGAAAGCGATTGCGTTTATATAGGAGTGGTGGCCCGCAATTTTCACACAGTCGATTTTATTGGAATAAATTGTCGCTTATAAAAATATTTGCACATATTGGATTGACTTGATGATAAGATTGACAAACAGTTCCTATGGAAAGGTCGTTACATCGTTTCTTCAAAATTTAGTGCGCATGCTTTCACGCGTGAGGTTATAATAAATTTCACACTGCAAAATCTAGGTAATCAAGTCAAAAGTGAAGTACGCAGTTCATGAGACATAAGTAACGGTCCTGGAGATATTAAGAGTTCTTCGGAAATATGCTGCGAAGATTAACTATTTTTACCGATGTTGAGTAAATGGTTGGTAATGTGTACGTGTATGGGCTCATATCACTGCAAAAAATAGATATCTGAATTTAAGACAGCTGTTGTAGACAACTTCTAGACACCTATACGTGTCTGAATCCATGAATATCTTAATAGAGTGATACCAAGAATTAAATCAGTAGCGAAGCGGTAAACCGGGTTAAGTCTATTTTGACGATTGACCAGTTTTTGACGAATATCTTGGAACCTAAAAGAGATAGAAAAAGTTTTGTCACGACCTTTTTTGTAGAGCCAATTGAGGGTTATAAAAAAGGTTATGAGAAAAATTTTGCTGTGTCCCTTAGATTCTAAGATATTCATCAAAAATTGGTCATTGGTTTCACTGGGATCAATAATTCCAGTGAAATCAATGTAATCATTGTAACCACGTGATTACCATATTTGTAATCACGTTTTGGTAATCAAGTGGTAATCATTTGTAATCAGTGTAATCTTTCGTAGTTGCTCCTAGTGAGACCGTGAATTTTGTTTTTGAATTTTCGAGTGCGTCATTTCTACCAACGCTAAGTCTCAGAGATCCCTGGCTCAATTTTTCTTGGAATCCCAGATGTTTATGGTTCATAACCTTGCATAGCCAATGCGTTTTGCACAAATCATTTGTCCGTAGAAAATTGATTCAATAGAGTTAAAATTTCTTCTTGTTCTGGAGAACCAACGACTGAATTATCTCTGAATTACCTGAGTAGAAATTTTGGTCAGGTCCAAGTCAGGACTGGATCAGGTCAGGCCTGACGATTGATCAGAAAATGATCTGATGACTGGATCAAGTCCTGATCAGGCCTAACAGTTCCGGATATGATCAAGCTGACGTATTCAAACCTGATGACCTGTCTACCGGAATCAATAATAATTATTAGTGATAACTAATCCAAAACAAAAGATAATTTCAATTTTTTCACAATAGATGGCCTCTCCTAATGAATCCCTACTGTAATTACCGTTGAAAAAACCTTCGTATTTTTTCCGATCGGGATCGAACCAGGAAACTTACGATTACTAATCCTAAGCCCTAACCACTAGACTATCCCGCTATTATTATTACGGAGACTCCGTTTTGCCTATATGATCTATATCTGGGTATTTGTTGACTTTGAGATTATTTATGATCTAGCCGATTTGCGCGTATATTCAGAGAGAGAAAATTTGTTTAGTTAAAATTTTATCCATTTCATTAATGGATAATAATCCTGATAACCATAACATTAATGAACAAATGGAAGCTTGATAATTTTTTTTCTAGTCAAGATAATTTGCTTGTGAGTGTGACACTTCGACTATATGTATATGACTATATGATCCAAATCGGATCAAATTGGGTTTAAGCAACCTGACCTCAGACTGAGATCATATCTACCTGATCAGAACTACATCTGAGCCCGTATGAAGTTTTTGGGATCCGATCGAGTGGATCAAAACTTGGTCAAGTCCTCATCAAGCGTGACCTGATCATGCCTACCTATAACCAGAACTTAATCTGAACTCGCCGTTAGTTTTTGGGATCCGATCGACTGGATCAAAACTTAGATTCTCGTCAGGCGTCACCTGATCATGCCTACTTGATCAGACCTTGATCTGAATTCGCCGTTAGTTTTCGGGATCCGATCGACTGGATCAAAATTTGGTCAGGATCTCATCAGGCGTCACCTGATCATGCCTATCTGACCAGAACCTGATCTGAACTCACCGGTAGTTTTTGAAATCCGATCCACTAGATCACAACTTGGTCAAGTTCTCATCAGAAATCACCTGATCAGTCAAATCTTACGAAAAATGGATCAAGTTCTGATCATACTTCAGGCAGATCTGGAACAATTTCCACTCGGGTATGTGCTTGTAAGTTTCATTCTGCATCAATGTTAGATATTCAGTAAATTTATTTTGCTGATAGCACTTATAAACGCCCAAATTTTTAGATGGAGTGATGGAGACTGCATTTTTCGGTTCTAATGCCCGCCCCTCCTTCCTCATTTCTTTGCAGTTTCTAATAATTAATTATTCCATCAATTCATATTTGATAAGAAGCCATTTTCTGTGATTTCAATGATTACAGGTGTTTAGTAATCACAGCATGTAATCACGAAATCATTTGTAATCATGTAATCACATTCTGTGCTCTTGCTAATCACGGTTATCACATAGGCAATATGGTAATCAGTGTAATCAGTACTGTAATCCTGGATAATCGATTACATTTTGTCATTGCGATGACACGGAATTCGCCTGTGAATAGCCCCTCGGGACCAGTACTGGGTATCGACCTACGGAGTCTTGGGTGCCGATCGACTATAAGGTTATAGTGTACTCTTACTTGATCACTTAGACGGAGACGGTGGCCGAAGCGGTTAAATCGCTCGGCCGGACGGCGGACCCGTGAGGCGCGGGTTCGAGTAGTCCGGCTTTGGGGCAATTGCGATTTTTAATCTTGCGGAAACCGTCGAACGGAAGTTTAACCACCGAGAAAGTCTTATGGGACAAACGGAGTACGAAAAACGTGCGGAAACAGAGGCTGTTTACTGCGCATTCACAAAGCGCAGAGGGATACACGCATACCACTCACACACGTTTGGGGTGCTCAGAGTGAGGGAACACTCTCCCCATTGTCGCTGATCGTTGGGAAGTTGGAGAGTAGAGAAGTTAGGGAGACTCTACTGTAGTACTTGAATGGGTGACCGCTTAGCTGTACCTCTCCGCGTCGGGTCTACTGGCGCTACATATGAATGTAGGGACCAACTATGCTCCTCGAGTCAGTGTGACCGATGAACAATCTAGAATCTCTGCAATATTGGTCGGCTGCATGACTGAGGTCTTCCATGGTTTCCCCCAGTCCAGGCCAAATAGGTGCAGTTGGGGAAGTCGGCCCATGGTAACGCCGAGGAGGGAATACCAGAGGCAAAAAAGAGAGGAGGGAGAGGTAGGCAGGGTGCGGGTGTCAAATCAAGAATTGTACTTCGATGACACCAAAAGTAACAAGTAAAAAATGAAAAAATATTATGGTGAATCCTATCATCTTAGCGAATGCAAATTATTCAAGAAGAATGAGAAAATTCAGGTGTGTTTCGAAGGATTTTCATATCATAATAATTGAAGCTCCAACATATTTCAATATTACTATTTAATGGTATCCATCCCTAACTTAAAAATCAATACAAATGGGAGAGTCCTTGAGAAATGCCATTTTTAGATATTCCGGCTGGATCGAGGTTACTCAGAAGATGGTCTTCCAACGAATTGAGGATATGGAAAAACACAGCATCCTGTCTGGTATGTCCTCCCGAAGCAGAGATTGATGCTTCTCGCGTCTGGATGTGTTTCCAACTCTGAAGGAAATTAGTTCCAGTGAAAATGAGTTTCTTGATGAATGAAATCAATCGATCAATTATTCCTAACAAAAAAAATTACGTACAGGCACATCTGTTTCTACGACAACGTTGTCTGCAACACTGCCAATGGGACGAACACTGGAATCACCCAAATGGCATTAAAACATCGCATTAACTTCCGGAGTCGTTTTGTTTTATTATACAGATCAAATAAATTCCACAGAATCGAAAGTATATTAGGGAGTACATCAGAATAATTATAGCTTATATAAACGGCTTACTTGGGTCCCCGGCCTTTGGCAGCTCCACTGTGCACTAGCAGCCGTTAGCACCATCGCAATGACCACAAAAATGGAGAGAAACTTCATGATGCAAACGAATTGGAAGACGTGGTTGATTTATCCCAATACAAATGGATTAGGGGAGGCACTTTCTTTTATATGCAGTCTCAATCTTTCCGGAAGTTTATTTTACTGGAATGACGCTCCTTCTATAAAAACGTTTGTACATATTGGATGGCGAAGATAAGAATATCGCTGACATACAGCTCTGTTATTAAAGTAAAAAAGAAGCGGGAAAAATAAGATGCATTTACGTCAACGTGTTGCATGAGTATATGCATTGTTCTTATGATAATAGTTCAGTGTGCGAACAGTAATTAGTTCAAGTTCTATCCAGGGATAAACTGCTATGCACTGAGAGGAAAAATTATTTTAGTTAAAATATCCATTTACTTGAGAGAAATATTCATTTTTTCAGTATCGTATTTCTCCAGTCGAGTGATTCCCAGGCAATCTTCATTAGATTTTAATTATGAAAATAATTGCAGATTAGATTTTAATTATGACAATTATGACAAATATTGCTCTAGAAGATGGGCATGTTAGTTATGATGTTGAGTGAACTCCCTCAATAATTATCAATAGTAAAAAATCAATCAAAATTCTTTCATCTAGAGAATAAGAAATTTAGGAAAAATGAATAGTCATTGGAGGAGTTTATTTTAGAACAACATGATTGTCATAATTGAAACCTAATGAAGCTCGCCTGGGAATGACTGAATTGGAGAAATAAGATTTTGAAAAAATAAATGCTTCTCTCAAGTACATGAATTTTTGGCAAAAATATATTTTTCATCACGTTGTGACGAAAAGTGAACTTTTCGGCACGCTCCGCGTGCCTAAAAGTCCAATTTCCGGCACATTGTGATGAAAAATATTGTTCGTAACTCGTGAAAAAATGTTTTTTAGCTCGTGGGATTATATCACTCGCCTTCGGCTCGTGATATAAACCTCCCACTCGCCAAAAAACACTTTTTTGCACTCGTTACGAAATATACTATTATTTCTCAGTGTGCCGGAGACCATGGCAGTACTCTAGCAAATCGATTGATAACTACCTGATGGCGATTCAACATGGGCTTGACTTGTTCACTCGGTCGATGACTTGTCGATCGTTGGTTGATCACTACTTGATGGTTTTTTGATTGATGGTCGATTTTTGGTTGATGGTTAGTCGATCGACGATCGATGGTCAGTTTTTGGTTGATTCCTAGTCGATCGATGGTCGATCAATTGACCGGTGATCCACTAGCACTCGACTTAGTGAATAAGTCGACCCCCCTATTGAGTGTTCCTTCAGGGTACACTGGAAAAAAAAATCCTTTTGCCAAGTATATTTACTTGCCAAAAGTAAATGTATATAAATAGTTGCATAAGACATGTGTAAATTTTCTTGTAGTTAGTAAATATAATCAGCAAAAGCAATTTTTTTTCTCAGTGTATGTAGTATCTCATGTCATTCTTGATTGGAAGGCGGATACGGCGCTGCGTGAAATTTACAGTCGCAGTCATAGGGAGAGATAGATCAGTCACAGAGAGGGACTAGGGTGCAAGACAGAAATAATAATCAGAAAAATGGCGATGATATAACCCAATATATTCATCATTATTATCCGTTAAGAATAGTTACGGAACATTTGTACATTATAACAATATTTACACATACAAAATTTTCTAGAGCTAAATATAAGAATTTTTACTCAACATCCTGTTCGGCGTCCTCTTCCACAGGGAGAATTTGGGCCGAATATGCTTGAATTCGTCTCTATCTCTGAAAAATTCAAGGCAATCGAAGAGTTAACTTAATATACCGATAATTCAATTATTTCAGCGGAACAAAATTTTACATACAGGTGCATCTCCCTCGACGACAGGAGAATGAACAACATTGGTTATTGCCGGTACACTGAAATCATAGAAATTAGATAGAAATTTCGTCTTTTATTATCATATTAGATCCAGAGACTGGATCTTTCTTTTATTGACACGCTACAGATTCTCAATGATAAAAGTAACTTACTCCGACACCCCGTGGTCTGCGGCCGGGCATACACCGTTGTCCACTAGCAGCCGCTAGCAGAATCGCAATAACGAAAAAAAAAGAAAGGAACTTCATGACAACGGAAAATTCTTATAAAGTTTCTTTCTGGAAGACAGTCGATTTATGGTTGTACAAGTAATCGAGGCGCTTGCGTTTATATGAAAAGTGGTTATCCGCAGTTTCCACAAAGTTGATTTTATTGAAATAAATTATCGCTTATAAAAATATTTGCACATATTGGATTCAATTGATGGTCAGAGTCATAAACTGTTCCGGAGGAAACGCTGTTGTATCATCTCTGTGCAATTTAGTTCATATTTCTTCATGCGGTGGGTTGATGAATGGTAGACTTGACACTGCAAAAACTTTTAGGTAATCGAGCCAAAAGTGAAGTAAAAAGTTCACGAAACATTAATCACGGTCCTAGAGATTGTCACAAGCTGTTCTCCGAAAATCTGTTGAGAATTCTAGGTATCGTTACCGATGCGAAGTAAGCGATTTTTGGAGGATTTTTCCAACATTTTAGAAGTGTCCCGAGTGATTTTCTCAGTAGAAAATCACCCTTTCTGCTTATGCTCATATCGTAACCTTTCGATTAGATATTGGATTAGAATAGACTTCATCATCGAGGCAATATCTGCAGCAATTTTTTTCTAATAGATCAGGGATGCGAAAAAATGACATGACACGTCAGTGACGGTCAAGTGACACGGCCAACTATGACAATTTATTGTCATGTGAGACAAACGTGGCTGTTTTACCCTGTGCACTGACAAAAATGAAGGATTTTAAGAAATACGTCTGTACTTATATCAAGAAACTTCTGGCTTGAAAATTTTCAAAAGTAAAATATCTTGCACAAAGAAAATAAAAACATTCGCCGAGTAATTTTGTACTTGTCCCAAAGACGAGGACAGTTTCTTGATGATAAGAAAGCGATTTCTCAAACCAAGTAAAATTGAATTAACTCATTTAATAGTTTTTCAGCTTCAATTATAAAATATTTTAATGCAAAAACCACTTGAATTGAATTGAGAACTTGTTTTCTTGATACGAGCAAATTGTCCTCATCTTTCGGACAAGTATAGAATTTCCTAGCGTAAGATTTTCTTTTCTTAGTGTGAGATATTGTGCACTTGGTAATTTTCAAGCCACGAATTACTTGATACAAGTAAAGAAATACTTCTCGAAAAACACTTGTCTTCTCAGTGTGACTGTCACATCCCATCTAATTAGTGGCACCCTAGGTGGCGACAACTAGTTCGAAATTCGAAAATTCCCCATGATTACCTCCATGGATGGACAATCACAAAACGTCAACATGCGTGTCAGTCATACTTCAGTCGAAAAAAGAAAAATCAGTGGTGAGTTTATTGACTAAGCGTCATTTTTCTCACAGGGAATGGCTCGAACAGTTGAGATCAACGAATAAAATTAATGATTTCACACCAATTTTTCATCAGAATTTTTGACACGATATTTATCTGAAAATTACACGCAATTTTGAAACCGGATATTCTCTGGGAATTGTCAACTGAAAAATTCACTCCACATTCAACATTCTTAGCCTGAAGGCCTTCAGCCCCACGTAGGAAATGCCAGTGTTGGAGAAACGGGCCAAGCCTGGCACAAGCCTGGGCTTGCCAAGTCTGGGCGCCCAGGCTTGGACCGAGGTTCGGCCATCCCTGGGGACCAGGGCTTGAGTCTCGGGGGAAGGGCGGGTAACCGAGCCTTGGTTGACAGATCTGGCCCAGCCTTGGCCGGACATTGGCATGCCGGACCTCGATAACTAAGCCTCAGCCAGCGGTGGCCCGGAGCTTGGTCATTGGGCTTGGTCATTGGTCCAGCCGTTGGTGTAATTGTAATGGTTAAGTCGTAAGGGTGAGATGATGAGAATGGAATCATAGGGGTGGAATCATAAGGGTAAAATCTGAAGAGTAAAATTGTAAGGGTCAAATCGCAATAATGGAAAGGGGCGAAAAAATCATAAGGCTGACATTCTGAGGGTTGAATGGTAAGGGTGGAAACTTGAGGGTAAAATATTAAGGGTGTAATCGTAAAAAAATGGTGACATTGTAGGTGTTGAAGTCACATGTTACTCGCTAATTATTACGAAAAGAAGAAGAATCGTCATTCAACAGTAATCCTAATTGTTACAATTATTATTGTAATTAATAATAATAATTATTATTATTCATTATTGAATTAATTTACCGATTAAACTGTAGTTGAATCACTTAATATTTCTATCAACTGAATAATAAAACATTCAAGTCGAAAAAAACCGAGATGGAATTAATATGGAAGATTTGAAGTAGAGGTTTTACGAATTGCGCGGTAGACTAGTGGTTAGGGCGTCGGATTAGTAGTCGTGAGGTCGTGGGTTCGAGCCCACGTTAGGGGGTAATATTTTAAGTTAACAAAATCGGTTTTTCAGCGATGATTGCGTTAGGGTTTGGTAGGTAGGGCACAATCAATACTAAAAATCATCCTAAAAAATGTTAATTATTTTGTTTTTGTTATTATTGATAATTGCCATGAACAGTTTGGCAGCCAGTGCGGCACCAGTCGCATGCCGGTATTGATTTTTTTTCCTCGTTGAACCTATTACGAATGCTGAGGAGTAATATTAAATTACTTGTATTTCAATCACCCATATTATCATATTCATGTAATTAAGTGATGTTTAATTGAGCCTGGCCAACGACTGGCAACCAACCCTGGGCCGAGATGGGCGCCCAGACCTGGCCCGATGTTATCATTCCAGGTTTCAACCAAGTCCGGCGCGGTCCCGGTTGAGGAACGGGTCCCGAAGTTCGGCAGGCCGGCCACCGGGCTTGGGCCAAGCTCGGCCCATTCGTTTTTTCGTACGTGGGTAGGCGATGGGCGCGTTGGCAAGTAAACCCTTGCACCGAAAAACCGGTACAATTTGGAAATTTGTGACAAGATTTTGTAACAGAAAAATTTATGACGGTCACATTACATCTAACTAGTTGATTGTCAT